TGCGGATTACCCGGTTGGATTAGAGGCACAAATGGTAGAAGTGATGAAGCTTTTGGATGTTGGAACTGATGATGGTGTTCACATGGTTGGGATCCATGGAATTGGTGGAATAGGAAAAACAACACTTGCTCTTGCAATTTATAATTTGGTTTTTGACCATTTTGATGGTCTGTGTTTTCTTGAAAACGTGAGAGAAAACTCAGACAAACATGGATTACAAAATCTCCAAAGCATTCTTCTTGCAGAGTTGGTTAAAGAAAAGAGAATAAACATAGCAAGTGTACAAGAAGGAATTTCAATGATACAACATAGGCTGCAACGAAAGAAGGTTCTCTTGATAGTAGATGATGTTGACAAGCATGAGCAGATGCAAGCTATTGTTGGAAGATCTGACTGGTTTAGTTCAGGCAGCAGAATCATCATAACGACTCGAGATGAACAGCTGCTAGCATCTCATGAGGTTAAAAGAATGTATGAGGTGAAGGAATTGAACAAGAAGGATGCTCTTCAATTACTTACATGGAAAGCTTTTAGAACTGATGAAGCTGATCCAAGTTATGAGGAGGTCTTGAAACGTGTGGTAGCTTATGCTTCTGGCCTTCCATTGGCTTTGAAAGTAATAGGTTCCAACTTGTTTGGAAAAGGTATAGAAGAATGGAAATCTGCGATCAAACAATATGAAAGAATTCCTAATAACCAAATCCTGAAGATACTTAAAGTAAGCTTTGATGCTTTGGAGGAAGAAGAGAAGAATGTTTTTCTTGACATTGCTTGTTGCTTCAAGGGATATGAATTGGAAGAGGTCCAAGATATACTTCATGCACATTATGGTGATTGCATGAAATATCATATTGGGGTGCTAGTTGATAAATCTCTCTTAAAGTTTAATATGCAATGTATGATGGTGACCATGCATGACTTGGTAGAGGACATGGGTAAAGAAATTGTACGAAAGGAGTCACCAAAAGATCCAGGCAAACGTAGCAGATTATGGTTGCATGAGGATATAATACAAGTTTTAGAAGACAACACAGTGAGTGAGATTTTGTTTATCTATTCAGACAATTGTATGCTATGTCATAGTTGTTTGTCTGTTTTTCCTTTATGATATGCATGTTTGATATCTTGCATATATACGAATGAGGCTGAATTCCTTGCATTGACAAGTAAATATGTTTTCTCTCTAAACTAACAAAAAATATACTGTATGTAATTATCATAAAAAGTCTACAAACTTTATCATATTGTCAATGTGTTCTGATTAAATTCTTGGTGGTTGATATGTGCCCTTTTGCATTAACAGGGAACTAGTGAAATCGAAATCATACATTTGGATTTTCCCCTACTTGACAAAGAAGAAATGGTAGAATGGAACAGAAAGGCCTTCAAGAAGATGAGAAACCTCAAAACACTAATTATTAAAAGTGGTAACTTTTCTGCAGGTCCCAAATATCTTCCAAATAGTCTAAGAGTATTAGAATGGTGGAGATATCCTTCACATGATTTACCATCAGATTTTCATTCAAAGAAACTTGACATGTGAAAATTACCTCAGAGTTGCTTTACATCACATGAGCTGGTTAGCTTATTGAAGGCAAGTTTAACTAGTTCACTTTTCTCATCATGCAATGAATTTACATTAGGATTGTGCATCTGATTCTCTTTTCTTGTTATGCAGAAGTTCATGGGTATGAGATTTTTAAATTTGGACAAAAGCAAATCTTTAACACAGATACCTGATGTATCTGGTCTCCCAAATTTAGAGAAACTTTCATTTCAACATTGTCAGAATTTAACTGCAATTCACAATTCCATTGGCTTTCTATGTAAACTCAAAATATTGAGTGCTTTTGGCTGCACCAAACTCGTGAGTTTTCCACCTATCAAGTTGACTGCTCTTGAAAAGCTCAATCTCTCACGTTGTTACAGTCTTGAAAACTTTCCAGAAATATTAGGAAAGATGGAAAACATAAGGGAACTTCAGTTAGAGTACACAGCCATAAAAGAATTTCCATATTCTTTTCAAAATCTTACACGGCTTCAAAAGTTACAACTATCAAACTGTGGAGTTGTTCGATTACCGAGTAGCATTGCTGTGATGCCAGAACTGACTGATCTTATTGGTTGGAAATGGAAAGGGTGGCAATGGCTGAAACAGGAAGAGGATGAAGAAAAAGAGGGATCATCTATAGTATCTTCAAATATAGAATATCTTTGGGCCTCAGAATGCAACCTGTGTGATGATTTCTTTTCAATCGGTTTCATGAAATTTGCTCATGTGAAAGACTTAGACTTATCAAAGAACAATTTCACAATGCTACCTGAATGCATCAAAGAGTTTCAATTTTTAAGGAAGCTTAATGTGAGTGATTGCAAGCTTCTTCAGGAAATTAGAGGGATTCCACAAAGCTTGAAACATTTCTTAGCAACAAATTGTAAATCCTTGACTCCCTCAAGTACAAGCATGTTCCTAAATCAGGTTTGGTTTTGTTTTGTTTCTAATGTACTTGACTTAGTACTGTATAGTGTACTTAATGTCGGAAAACTTATGAGTTCTTTGTGACTAACAGGAACTACATGAGGCTGGAAAAACTCAGTTTTATTTACCAGGAGAAAGGGTTCCAGAATGGTTTGATCACCAAAGTAATGGACCTTCAGTTTCTTTCTGGTTTCGTAATAGGTTTCCTGAGAAGGTTCTTTGTCTTGTTATTGGACCTGTGAATGACTCTGGAATGTTTAGGCCTATGGTAGTCATCAATGGCAATAAATGTTTTCTTGGTAGTGACTATTTCATGATGGGAATGGATCATACATATATTTTTGATCTTCTAACAATAAAGTTTGAAGATAACTTATATGGAGTTCCTTTAGAAAATGAATGGAACCATGCTGAAGTTAAATACGTAGGTCTGGAAGAGACATCAATCCTTAAACAAAGTGGAATTCATGTTTTCAAACAAGAAAGTGGCCTGGAGGCTGTTTGGTTTTCTGATCCTTATGGCAAGAGAAAATTAGAAGATGATCTCAATAGTTTTGAATCACAAAACCAACAACTGCTAAAAAAGCATAGGTTTGTGGACATGGAAGCTTATACATGACAAAAGTGTATAGTTATACATGACAAAAGTGTATAGTTTTATGCTAAAGGCTAATTCTACTCTGAAATGGATTTGTTATGTAGTTGAAGATCTATAATTATACCAACAAAATGATTGTTGTAAATACAGTGTTAGTATTTACAATGATGCTAATTTCTTCTAGGTGTTAAGGATGATTGAAAATGCTTACTATGATGCTAATTCGCTCATGAATTAAGACATGAGTTGATCTGTGTTTCCTCTATGTAGTAATAATGTTAGATTATTGCAAAAGAAAACGTTGGATTGCAACGGTCAAAACTTTAATTGTCAATAACGTTTAAATTCATTTTATTAAGTGCTCAAACGGTAAAATATATTTAATGGCTTTTATTGTCTTTTATTGATTTTATTCTTTCCTAACTCTATAAATAGAGAGCTTTTCCCCATTCCAAAAATATATCGAAGTTTTTTCTCTCCTTCTCGTTTCTTCTAAAATTATTCTGGGTTTATTTTATACTCTTTTTAGAGATCCTCAGAGATATTCTGATAAGTTCCTGTTGTATCCTGGGGGACTCACCGCATGTAAGTCCGAAATCAAATGCAGTAAGATCCCAATTATCTGGGCACACTGAGGCTGAGACAATGATTCTCCTTTATTTTTCATTAATTTAGAATTAGCATATAAGGGATACTCACTGGTTTTAGGTCATAAAATCTAAACTTCTTAAGAAGTTTCTCAATATACTTAAAATCATTGACTTCACCCATGTCTTTCATTTCAAATTTTGATCCTATAAACAATTTAATTCTAGCGACAATCTCATTGCGTGTACCAAAATTTAGCACGTCATCCACATACAAACAATGACACAATTACCATTTTCAAATTTTAGAATACTATCAATATCATTAAGAGCAAGGATTGTGGGGGTGTATTGTGATTGATAAATCTCTAACACCCGTCAAGTGTCTTTGGTTCATATAACTTGCTATACCAACTACACAGTGTGTTAAGTATTTGAATCTTAAGACTGGTTGATATAGCTTGCTATATGCATTAGCTTGCTATATGCATTAGCTTGCTATATGCATTATATCCTATGAGACCTAGAATAAAAGTTTCTTATTTTGTTCGTTTTGCAAAAGAGACCTAGAATAAAAGTTTCTTATTTTGTTCGTTTTGCAAAAGAAAACGTTGGATTGCAACGGTTAAAACTTTAATTGCCAATAACGTTTAAATTCATTTTATTAAGTATTTAATGGCTTTTATTGTCTTTTATTGATTTTATTATTTCTTAACTTTATAAATAGAAAGTTTTTCCCCATTCCAAAAATATCCCAAGTCAGTCTTCTCTCCTTCTCTTTTCTTTTTTTTTTCAAAATTATTCTAAGTTTATTTTATACTCTTTTTATATATCCTTGCTAGTTGTGAAGTTCCTATTGTATTTAGGAGAGTTGGTGATTTTGTCAACATTTTTTACAACACTCTATGGCTTCCTTTAATCATGAATTTTTCAGATGAATCTCATGACTTTCCTAGGATGCCGTGATCCGTGTTTCCAAATTCTCGGACAACATGATCTCAGATATGACACCATAAGCTTATTAATTGTTGTTCCTGCTTTTGCACCTTTTCTTGTGTAATTTTCTTTCCCTCAAGGTATGATTATAAAGATCCCATGATCAATGTCAGAACACTATGTCAGACAGAAAACCCTGTTGCCTTTACAAAATCCTGTTCTCATTTTTTTACTGCATTTCAAACTGTTGACACTGTTCATTCAATTAATTTAAAGAAAATTATAGCAAGCATGAGAAGTTCCATAGATCACAGCAATAGTATTAGACACACTTCATTTAAGAACAAATCTCATGTATTGTCTAAAACAGATTTTTTATTATTATCATTCAATTATAATCAAAATTTCAATTCAGTTTCCATCTATGTCAAAGATTAACCATGAAAGCTGATGTAGATTAATTATTGAAGTAAACACATTAAAATTACATTCAAAATTTTATCTTTTGAATAATCGAGACATTACATTTTATGGAAATTAAAGCTATATAACTTTGTTGTTAATTTGATGGAAGAAGAGGTTAAGGGCACTTGGGTCCTCCTCTCTTGGTCTTCCAGTTGTTGTAGCAAGGGCACACTGCTTTATTCCCATAATACCCCGGTGGGACACACAGGCACTTCATACAACACTTCTGACAGAAAAACATGCAGGGCTTGTGGTACTGGGTCCTGCTACACCTCCTTGTGCATTGCGAAGGGCATTCTGGTCATATCATATCCCAAAGAAAAGAAAAAATCTCATTAAAATATTTACATAAATTGAATCTTCTCATGTCAACTTAAAAGCATCTTCATCCATTGATTACTGAAATCACAAAGGAATCTTAATATAATAACCCACCCTAGTCCTCTCAAATTAGGATCTTAGATCATAAAAATATAAATTTATAATACTCTTAAATTAAAGTAAAAGTTTTTAAAAATAATGTAACAAAATTAAATTTATAGAAGATAAATTAATATTTTATATTATAAGTCTTGTAATAAAAATAATATAAGATACATAAAAATACTTAATTTATCACAACAATGATTTATCTTTTTTAAAAAATAAGAACAGATAAAAGTAAAACTTAAATACATTATTATTAGTGTAATTGATAATATTCTTAATATGTGTTAAAAATTAATAAAATTCTTTATTATTCATGTTTCAAGAAAAAAAAAAGAAAATTCTAATTCACATCTTGGAATAATATATACCAACCATATAGGTTTTTTCCATTTGAAAAGTTCTTATGTTGTTGCAAGGGCAATAACTTCTTGTGAAATATGAATTCAGTTCTTAGTGATTGGATGAACAGTTATTTGGTAAATGAGAAAATTAATTTTCAAAAATTTAAAGTCAAAGTCTCAGATCCAAAGATCACGGAAAAATATATTTGACCATAATCAAATGAGAACCCCATGTTTGGAAATAGTGTATATTGAAAAATAACTGAATGAATAGCAGAAAGAACTTCAAAAGAATGAACAGCAGAAAGAACTTCAAAAGAATGGATAGCAGAAAGAACTTCACTTACGGTAGTTCTTGAGACTTCCAGGTCCAAATTTTTTCTGATAAACACACAATAATTATGCAGAACATGAGTCATCAAAAACTCACAAAACCAGAAATAAGAAGACATGCTATATATATATATACACACACACATATATATATACACACAGACAGAGACACACCTTGTCATAGTAGTGGTGACCTCCATGTCCATGGGATGCCACAACCTTCAAAACCAAACCAAGAAAAATGTGAGAAATATATAAACTTTCAAAACCTCGACAATGTTGAACCAGATTTATCAAAGATTGTGAGTTGTAAATGTATGTGTTTGTAGTGAAAAAATCAACCATTGTTTGAAGCATGGAAATGGCAATGAGGGCAATGATGAAAGCAGATAGTAGCTTAGCAGTCACAACAGCCATTGTTGGAAGCTAACATAAACCAGAAAGCTCTTCAATATATTGTGCAAACTGATGGTGCAGAAAGAAGAAGAGGGTGGTGACAGAAAGAGATGAATGTGGGAGCATTTATAGAAGAAGGCTGAATGGTTGGAAGGGATACCTTAAGTAGCAGCAAAATTTATTACTGTCGAGTGTGAACACTAGCAGAGAGTTTTACTTCGTACCTAAAATCACACATGTTTGTCAGCATTGATGATGTTACTGTTAAAGTGTTATGTCATGCTAACTAACTATACTGTTGCTTCCGTCTCAAAAGTACATGAATTCAAGTTTTTCTCACGTTATTCTGATAAAGTATAATTTGGAAAACAATTTATAAATTAATAAGATGACTTACAAACATAGTTTTTGGTGTTGAATAGTTACTTTTTCAAGTAATTAATTTGAAGATAGATTAAGAAAAACTATTAGTATTACATCAAAGAGTAACGTAAGTTGATTTGTTTTCTTTAATGATATATGAGATTTCATCGTACGGTCCACAATACGGATTGGAATATGGAAGTTGGTAGTTAGGTTCTTCTTAAATGTGTGAAAGTTTCTTTTCATTTAGGGTTGCAGAGAATTGCAAATTGCTTGTTCCCTTGAAATTAAAATACTACCAAGTAGGAGACAAAAAGTGGTAGTTATATGATGGATAAATGATGCTGTAGAAAATATCTAAGAATCATAAAAATATAATGCTATATATAATTCAATATTCAATTAATTTGTCTCGAGTTTAAATTCAAAATAATGTATGAAACATTTGAAAAATAGTAAGAAAAAATTATATATATATCATACTTATATATATGGACCTTTTTCTTTAAAAAATAATTTTTTGCTACGAATTTTAGAACATATTTTATAAACTATTTCTTTTTCAAAAGTAATAAAGAATTTGTAATTATCTGTACTTTACGCACACGCACATATATTTAATTTTTATATTTTGAAGTAAATCTTGTAAATTAATTATTTTAAATGATAAATAAGAAACAATTAATTTGATTTAAGATATATCAATTTTATTAAATTTAGTATATATGTATGTGTATATTCTCGAAGACGGATAAAAATAAAAATATATAGTAATATATATGCTTGGTTTGAATACATATTAAGCATAATAATTACTTTTTTATTTAATGGTAGATATACCTATATTCACATAGTAAATCAAAATATATTGTATAAAATATTCATTAATAGAGTAATAATATAAATTCATTAGTGTATTTTTGTTGTTTAATTTTTACTATAATTATAATCGATATGATAATAAATGATTTTGAAGATTTATATATATATATATCTATATCTCTCTATCTATAGTATATAATATAGATCTTATATACTATATATCTATATCTATATATATATATATATGTATGTATATGTATGTATGTATGTATATAAAGTTTCTAAAGTAGAAACGAACTTAGTAAAAAATAAATTGTTATTAGTAAAAACTAATATTCGTTCTATTACCATCTCATCAGTACAATTTGATAAAGAAAAGAATGAAAATAAACTCTAAGAAATTATAAAAAATTAGAAATAATGAAAAGTTAAGGTATTTAAGAGAGATAATGATTTTAGAAATGAAAATGAAAAATAATTTTTACTATTTTTGAAATTATTAAAATCTAGACGGACAATAATTATAAGATGAATTAATTATGTGTTTTTTTAAAAGACAACATGATTGATTGTATTAAAGTTTTGTTTTTCTTCATCCATCATGAGAAAAAATAAAAATATTCTAAAATTCTTTATATGTGAAAGATCATATTTTTTCATTATGTTAATATGATCATTTTGTACCTCACAATAACAAATTTAAATACTTATCATTTTATTTTATGAAAAATTATTTTATGAGTTTATTAAGAATTAATATATGATTGTGTTATAGAGTTTGGATTTTTATCCATTAGGTTATAACTATTTTTTGCTAACAAAATTTCTTCAATAATGAGTTTAAAAATGAAAAGAAAAATAACTTTTACTACTTTTAAAATTATCTCTAATAATATAGTAAAAGCTAGGCCAATGAATCGCATTGAATATGGTTTGTTTGATTGCAATTTAGTTGATGAGGTACATTAAATGAATAGAAGTAAAGAAAGGTAGAAGGACACAAATTGTGGGGCTCCATGTTCCTCCATGTGATTCTTTGTGCCCTTCACAAATTAATTTGATTGTTTAGATGGAAAAAGTAGTGAGCTTTCAAAATTCAATAACTAACAATTTACAATGCCTTATGGCACATGTGACAACACCTCTCCCTTCACATTGCTCATTTATTATAACTAACATGAACTACATAAAAGGTAAATGCTAATCACACCCTAAGTGAAAATGAAAAGGCTTTATTTTATTTCGATAATCAAAATTTATCTCCTTATAACTTTTTAATAGTACTCATATATGAATTTTAATCATTATTTTTTATGAGAGACCTTTAGTAAATCAACATGATTCTTATTAATATGATTCACTGGTGTAATACTAAGTTCTAAACAAACTCTAACTATTTTGTAATTCAAGTCTTTTCTCTTTTTCCTTCTTTATCTTTTAATTTCTATGGTTGTGATATACCTCAAAAGATCCTCTGATACTTAATGTTCTATAAACAGAGTTAATTTCAATATACAATATAATCATCGCTTTCTTATCTTAAATCTATATTATCAGTTTTGGAACTACACTTTTAATAAACATTAGCCTAATCACAACCCAATAGTTGATAAACATGCTTTACAATAAACATACTTAATTTATAAATTTGAGCAATATTAGAAGAATTATCAGTCAGTTAATAACTTTTACTAATCGTAATTTGATTCTAGATGTACTGAGATTGATTGTTCAGTCAATTACTGACTGGATGACCCTACAGTGCAACTAATATAATAATTATATAAGATTTTGATATATTATTGTAAATTTAGAAAAAAATCACTGCAAAAAATTATTAAATAACAATTAGATTTGAATAGGAAAATAATTAGTCATTATGTTTTTTAAGTTAGACAATATTTTATAAATTAAAAATTACTAGTATTTAAAATAGTTTTTATTATAAATAAAAAATATAATTGATTTTTGAATTAAACTTTTAATTAGTTTTTAACATTAATTATTAATATTTTAACTATTTTTTACTATTTATTTTAAATTAATCTTGGAGATTAATTTATACCCTAATCCCTTAATAGTTAAATACATTTTTAATTGAAATTGAATGAGGTAAGAGCCCTGTAAATCAGTGGTTTTTCCTTTCGGATTTAAGTCCTAATTTGTTTGTACCCAGTGAATTAGAGCAGACTCTTAATATTAAAAGTATTTGCCTTGAAGTTATAAACACAAAATTTAATAGAGATTTGATTTAATTATTTAATTGATGATTGCTTTCTCCGTAGTATAAGCAAAACTATTAAATGAAACAATTTAATACAATTTACTTCTAAAGTGGATAAATATTTATATAAATCCGTTAAGTTTCAATAAACTCTTCATTCACTATAATAGTTTATGTAATACAAAATAATATTTAAAAATCAATAATGGATGCATAAACTTAAAATATACTCTTAATATAATACCAATTTTACATCTCAACCTTATAACAGAATTGTAAATCACAGTCATAAAATATAGTAATACAACATTACTGACTAAGTAAGTTACTAAATTATATACAAAATTCAAAAATACACAAGTTACTATAGTGAAACCATCAATTTCCTTTGAATCATTTTTAGTAATAGTAATTATAAGGATATAGTTCTCAAAAGCCTCAATGTCAAATACATAAATACAAAACATAGAAAAAATCATTTTATTTCTTTATTTATTTTCTTTCCATGACCTCAATGAATATCGATTAAGCTGACATTAATATATTATTATATTATGTAACAGTATATGTCACCTAATAAATTATTATTTCTTAGTTCACACGCATCTTTATTTTATTATTATTTTTTGTTTTTATATTCAATTTTATGTCCCCTTAATCGACACCACGATAGCATTATTTAATTTAAAATATAATATAGTGTATGCCATATGTACTATTTTTATCGTTCATGTGAATAACTTCTCATTATTTTTTACTTTAAATTGTTTTTATTAAATAATGTGGGTTTGGTAAACTCTAAATTATAAACTTATCTTAGTACTATACTATATTAAAATTGATCTGAGAAACTCTAATAGCATCTTTCTTTTGTTTGATATTATTTGCCAGCAATTAATTACTAACTTCTTGTAGTGACTTTTATGAGATTTTTACTCTAAATATTTTTAAGTGGATTATTTTAACTTGATTCATGTGCATTATGTCGAGTTATACGAAATGGACCAAATTACAGTTCTATTAGAATGAGAACGACAAAGAAACTTATAAAAAAAAAAAAGTTATGAAAAACGGAAAATAAGAAAATTTTAAAAAACAATTAAAATATTATTAAGTTAAAAAAATTATAATTTCAAACTTTAATAATATCTCAAATACAATTATTAAATAAACTTATCATCAAAACTTTGATGCGGAAAATAGATTTTAAAACAAACCTTCTCTTAATTCTGATTGACTCCCGACTTAAAATCATAACGTTACTACTAGAATTATAAGTGAAACTAACCGAATGTCATTATTTCAGTATTCATCAATTTAACATTAGATATAATTGTTCATTTGAAATTAAATTGGACTTTATTCGATATATATAGTATTACATATATTTTAAACAAATATTTTATTTTATCTTTTATCATTAATTAATTTATTATAATTTTTTATTTGTACTTTTTGTTTAATCTATATTTTTTTATTAGAAATACAATAATTCAAGACAGATTATATATATATATATATATATATATATATATATATATTTACTGTATTAATATACTTTAAAGATTTTCTTTTTCTGTTTTTTTGTTATGAAATGTAACTGATTCAATCAACTTTTCATTATTTTACAACTAGCATGTTTGAGTGTTTGTGTCTCATTATTTATTATTTGAGAAATACTGTGAATAGTTTTCTTCACAGATTATTATTTTTTTGAGATGAACATG